CATTGAAGGAAATTGGGTGAAGTTATATAAAATGTAAACATAGGCGGAAACCAGGCCTCTCTCTGTACTATTTTTGGAACTTCCTGTGAATCTATAATTATTTCAAAATAAGGCTAAAAAAAACCAAATAGGTAGAATTACTCATGTAGGGAAAAAAATACAAAGCCGTAGTACTAAAACAGCAATGGTATTAGAGCAAGAGCAAACAAATAAACCAAAGGAACAGGATACAGTGTTCAGAGTATATATGAGAACTTAATATACTATAAGTGTGGCACCACTAATCTATGGGGAAAGGAGAGAAGGATGCTGGGAAAACTGGCACAGCACATGGAAAATAAAAGTGGATGTCTACCTTGTGACAGATAGTCATGCGCAGCTTAACAATAGGGATGTGTTCTGAGAAGTACATCCTGTGGACCCTGAGAAAGAAGGTATTTACCACGAAGTGCTCCTGCCTGCCTGGTGGCTAGCTGAACTCCAAATTAAAAAAGAAAAAAACAGAGCCTAGAAGCCATTACTTTTGTTTTCTTTTATTTTTTAAGATTTTTTTATTGGGGAGTTGGGGGAGGAAGAGCCAAGTTGTTGTCCTTCAATCGTAGTTGTGGAGGGCGCAGGTAGCTCAGCTCCCAAATCCAGTCGCCATCCGGCTGCCTTTCGGCATCACGCGGCTGCTCAGCTCAAGGTGCCATGTTCAATCTTAGTTGCAGGTGGGCATAGCCCACCATCCCACGCAGGAGTCGAATCGGAAACTGTGTTGCTAAGAGTGCATGCTCCAATCACTGAACCATCCGGCCCGTTAGCAGCTCAGGGTAGCTCAGCTCAAGGTACTGTGTTCAATCTTAGTTGCGGGTGGGTGTAGCCCACCATCCCATGCGGGAGTTGAACCGGCAACCTTGTTAGGACCATGTGCTCTCACCACCTGAGCCATCCTGCCACCTGTTGGCAGCTCAGCGGCAGCTCAGCTCGGGCGCAGCTTACTGGCCCATGTGGAAATCGAACCGGCGACCCTGTTGCTCAGAGCTCACGCTCTTAATCAACTGAGCCACTCAGCCGGCCCCTAAAAGCCATTTCTAAACAGAGTCCTCTCACACAAGCCTTGCTTCAGGGAGAGAAGCCTGCACTGAACTGCCTGCTCGAACTGTGTTCCAGCCTTCTGAGCCAACCTTTATAAAAAAATTCCTGGAATTGCATTTCGACCAATAGGACTGACTTTCCCCATCCAATCAGAGCTGTGCAGCTATATCCTCATTGGCATCTTCACAGACCAGTCAGAACAGCTCCATCCTGACCAATCAGGCCAGTGCTTTTTGGACCAATCAAACTGCAAGGATGTGCATGAGGACAGACCAATCAGGAACCAGGCATAGGGACCTCTCTCTATATAAGTCAGCTCCCCTCTGGCTCAGAGAACGCACTTTCCCTTTCCAGCAAAGGCTAAAGACTGGGTTTCCACCACTTGAGCTGAAACACCAAAAAAGTCGTGCCAGAGTGGAGCAGGGCCACCTTGCCCCAGGGCTGCCTCACAGCCATACAGTTCCACAGCTATGCAGCTTCATAACTGAGCTATGACACTGCTGAGCTGTTCCCCAGCCATGCTGTTCTAAACTGTGCTGTATCACAATTGATCTGTTTGCACTGAATAAAGTTTCCTTGTCCACCACACCCCAAATTAGGGATTCCTGCTGGTATTGAATTGGCACCAAAGACGATGTGTTGACAGTCCTTAGGTGATTTCATCATGTGTAAACATCATAGAGTGCATTTACACAAACCTATAGCCTACTGTACACCTAGGCTATATGGTATATTGCTCTGTAGGGGAGGAAAAATAATTTCACTCCACCCTTCTGGGTTCTTGGCTGAGACATCTCTGTAATAAAGACAGGTTAGCAGGAGAAACACAAGCAAAAGTTTAATACCATGCATACCTCCTGTAGACATGGAAGAGACCCATGAAAACTGAGCAACCCGCCAAAGTGGCAGAAGCCACCATCTGAAATACCACCTTTAGCAGAAGAGAAAAGATGGTGAGAGTGGGGAGTCAGTTATGGGAGGTCATCAGAAAAACAACAGTAAATAAGGGTAAGGTTGTTACGCAGGTTCTTAATGTTGTTATTAAAGTTATTAAGGTTATTAATAACATTGTCTTCTGCACTAATAAGAGTTTCTAGAGATAAGGTCATGCCCCTCTTTCAGCAACAGACAAACCCTTACAAATGTAAACATCTTTTACAAAAGGGAACTTCTACTTGGTTTTCAGAACTCCTGTGTCTATTATTTCTTAAAATTACCAGCGTAAAATAATCCATGCCAAAGAGACATGTTTTGGGGTGACAAATTCTGTTCCTGCTGAATCGGAAACTTCTTTCTGAGCTAAAAACTGTGTAGCTCCTAGGCTACAAACCTACACAACATGTTACTGTACTGAATACTGTAGGCAATTATAGCACAATAGTAAGTATTTATGTAATGCCTTGCGCTATGACATTATGATGGCTCTGACATCATTAGGCAACAGGAATTTTTTTAGCTGCATAACCTTATGGGACCACCACTGTATACATGGTCCATTGACCAAACTATCATTTCACAGAGCATGACTGTAAAAAGCCAGATGTATCGAAGACCTAAAATCTAAATAAAGATTATGAAGTTAGTACATACAATAGGAGAGTAATTTTGTGACACACAGTTGGAGAAAGACTTCTTAAACAAAACCCCCAAAACACAAACCATAATGCAAAAAAACTTTTTAATTTGATGATATCACAATTGAAGATTTCTGTTCAATGAAGGTCATCATGCAAAAAGTTATAGATGAATGACAGAATAGGAACAGATATAGTTATAATATCTAAAGGACTAGTATCTGGGAAATAGAAGGAATTTCTGTAGATCAGCAAGAAAAAGGACTGAAACCTTGAACTAAAAATGGGGAAAGAAATAAGCTGGCAGTTTTACAAAAGGGAAAACTCAAAAAGATAAGATGCACATGAAGAAACGCTCGATCTCATTAGGCCTAGTGAAATGTAATTGAAAATGAGTTTTTCCTTTGCTATCTATTGTCTGGTGGGGATATAAGGACATAGAAACTCTCATGAACTGCCGGCGGGGGTACAGACCATTACAGCTTCTTCTGGGACACAGTCAGGCAGTCCTTCAATAAAATATATATGTGAATGCCCTATGATCCAGAAATCACATTCCTGGATATAAATCTCAAAGAAAGCATCACAGACATCTAAAAGGTATGTTTATCATAGTACAGTCTATAATGATAGGAAAATGAGGTAATATGGGTATCCATAAATAGACTAGACATAAAATGTAGTAGATAAAACATTCTGAAATACTGTGCAGCAGTTAAAAGCATTAGACAGAGACACAAATAGATCTTTAAAACATAGTAGGGAGAGCAAAAAAATTTTGAGATATATAGCATGATAGCTCTATAAATTAAAAATGTGGGCACCCAAAACAACATACATTTCTAACACATACAAAGAGAAGGATACACATCACACATGTTAGAATGGGTGTTTATGGGCTGATGGGTAAGGGAACAGAGTGGGAATTGGATGAATGAAAAAATAACCAAAACTTGAACAGCCCAATGATGATCATTGAATTGAGAAAGGTTAACTCAAACCTCTGCACATGGGGTCCAAAACAGCCCTTAAGGACTCACACCTAACACAGAGCACATCACTAAAGCTAAATGTCATCCGACCCTTCTCATGACAAAGGCACAAAACCAGCTCACCACTTTTAAAGTTTTCAGTGCTAAGCCTCTTACATAAACCATCCCATTTCCTTTGTTTCAAAACAGAACTTATATCCAAGATAAAAATAAAAGGAAATTGTAAGACACAAGTCTCATTATGTCAAAATTTAAGCTCCCACGGTAATACTCAAATAAGACAAAGCCCAGTCTCTTTCATTACTCTAATTACCAAGATCTTTTAAAATTTGGCTACAGGTGGCAACAAGAAATAATAAAGTTATACTCTAGTTTTGCTATTAAGTAGGGTTCTGAAGCATTTTAAAAATAAAAATAGACATTTAAACAAATGACTTTCTCTACCATAATCTCTAATTGAAATTCACAAGGCATTTACTATCTATTTATATTGTTTCACTTTTTCCCAGTTTGAAATACCTATGACCTGTGATTTTGGATGAAATCAAGGCAGTTTTTGATTCTTCATACTAATAAAGGCAATTTCAACACATTATTTTCACTTTTTCACTGCCCTCCATGCCATCCTGTCACAAGCCGCTTCCATAAAGCAAGAAAATGTCTGTGTGTGTGTAACAATATTTCAAAAACGCAGTCAATTTCTCATACAACAGGTGATTTTTTCCATGTGGTCCATAAAGTCCTATGCAATAAACGTCTGAAAGAATTATAGCTGGTCTTTCTTAGCTCGTGGCAAATGTGGACTGTGAAAGCAAGCTGCAGCGCTCACGGAGTCCTAACATCCAGGGCATCAACAATACCAATGCAGCCTACGAGGCAACTGTGGCTGCCGTTGCTTCAAACCGTACCAATCAGCAAATTCCGCCTAGCACCTGAGAAACTGACACAGCAAGTGAATCAAAACATCAAACGCAATTTCTGAATCAAAGATAGGATCGCGTGGACTCCAAACATGTGGCTTCAGGACGCTGGGTTCCATTAATAAGTGAGCTGGAGTAGCAGATATCCTCTTAGATCAAGTCCTAGAGCAAGGGGATGAGAACGGGCAGGTGGCATTCAAAGGTGAAGTTGGAACAGGCGTCTCAGTACCTCAGGCAAGGGCAAACTAAAGAGGAGCACCAACAGGGAAGGAGAGGCCATGTGTACCCCCAAAGCAAGCACAACATTACCAGAAAACAGTCAATAAGCACCCCACCCATCATCACTAACCACCTCACCCCGTTTACATAGCCACTGAGATCAGGGCGGTCCCATCTCAAGACCAAAGACCTTGTCACCAAAAGCAAATGTCACTTACCAGGCCAGGGAGCCCCAAAGACCCCTGGCAGGACCCGGGATCCTGGCAAAGGCGCCTAGCTGTGGGCCTGAGCCTGCAGGCGCGGCGCAGAACGGAGCTCCCAGCAGCTGAGCTCTGACAGCTGACGCCACCACGGGAGGGAGGGGCTGTGACCCTTGACCCCAGCTCCCCCTGACCTCCAAGTTGTGAGCACATCTGGCGCTGGAGATCCCCCTGGGGCAGCTCTAAAGCCTCCTACCTGTCACGGCTTCATCTCATGTCGTGATGTTGTCTGTCGGACCACTCGTGGACGCCCCCGCAACGGAGCACAAGGCACGAGCGTCTCGAAGAAGGAATGTGGGGTGGAAAAATCCGGGTGGGAAGGTCTCTGGGACCACAGCCCCAGCCCAGCCGCCGTCTCCCCACGGAGGCTGCAGAGTGCCGCTACCGCCACCACCGCCGCGGCTGCAGTAGATCAGCTGACACCAGCCTCAACTGCCGTGACTTTCGCTGCAACTGTCGCAAAAAATGAGGGGGAGGGAAATGCTCGCTGTTTCCATTCACGCCTTGGTCTAGGCTGACACCATGGAGACGGAGCCGCGGTGAAAGGGGTCAAACTGTGGGCAAGAAGCGCACGGCTGCCATTTTGGTTATGGGAAGGCTGGTCTAAGCTCTCTTCTCGCCTCGAATGCTCATGCTGGGAGGACCAAGATGGAGGGAAGCATGAAATGGCAAGTGTAGGTGTTTGTTCCTTGTGACAGGGATGTTGCAAGGTGACTCTTCTGCCTCCGCGACTCTGTCCAAGAGCCTGAAAAGTGTCCTCTCTGGAATTTGGTTACTGTTTCTCTTTGACCCCCAAATTTAGCTGTCGCCTAGCCCACAGAGGGCCAGACAGAGGAAGAACAGAACTCTGCTGCTGGCCTAGAGGAAGTCTGACCTTGTGCAACATTCCTGCAGAGGAGGAATGAATGAATGCGCACTCTGTGTGTGGGCGGCCAGAGCGGTGGAGCATGAGCTCTGATTCAGAGAGGCGTGTATTCGCACCCTGGTTTCTGCACTGCACACTGTTGGTGTCATCTGGGACAGGTTGCTTCTCTTCATTCCCCACAATTTCCCCATACACAAGATAGGCATAATAACCTCATGGATGTCTCGGAGATTAAACGAGCTCAACAAATGTTAAGTACTTATAATGCCTGCCTCCTATCTTCCTCCCAAATATTTGTTAAATGAATGAATGGATGGTAGCCAAGGCAAACTGGTACCATTCTGGTGGCCAACGGTCAGTTCTGGTAAAGAGATAGAAAGGATGTTTCATTCCATGGCTTTGTTTTCCCTTTATAATCTCACTAATGGATTTAGAGGACAAGATAAGACTTCTATTGTAGACCTCAAAACTTACTGTGTGTTCGAATCACCTGGGGAGCTTGTCAAAATGGAGTTTCCGATTCAGTAATTCTGGAGTGGGGTCTGAGATTCTTCATTTCTAACAAGCTTCCTGTAATGCCTATTACTACTGGTCCTTGGACCAAACCTTGAGGTAGCGAAATACTATTGGACAGGCCTGAATCAGAGGATTAGGGGGTTAGAATAGGGCAGAAACAACTACTTCAGACAGGATAATGTTCTTGCTAATTTGCCAAAAGAGAAGTGTTGGTTTGGGCAAAGGGCTTCAATTTATTATTCAACAATGTATTATTGAAAGGCAACAATTTCTTATTTCTGCAAATGGCAAACTTTTCAATCCCCTTCTCCCCAGTTTAGAAGTCCTTCTCCCAGCAAGACATTACACACCCATCAGAGTCCTGGGTGGCATACCCCCTTTTCTTTCATTAGGCCATTTAGCATCCTTTAGGCCTTCAGGTGTGGCTTCTTATTTGCTGTTTCTGTTCATTTGTAGAGACCAACTCTACTTGCCACCATAATGAGAAAAACTAAATAATCATGTTGACCGCTGAAGTCAATAGAACACTCGAAAGTCAATAATTCTGAAAATGTCTTATACTACAAATTGAAATTCTATGATTTTGTCTTGCTTTAACTTCCTTGTAATCACATGAGTTGGGGGAGAGGAGCAGGGAAATTATGTTAAATTGAAGAAAGTAATTCGTCGTCTGCTGGGTTCAATATATCTACTACATCTGCTATGATGATGAGCACATTTAAAATATTAAGTTCATATCCCCTTTACAATTTATAAAAACTTTTTTGGAAATGTAGGAACACTGAGTGGTTACCACAGAATAATCTTAGTTTACATTAAAGCTTTTTTATTTGTAAATGAAATCTGTAAGATATCTTTCCTAGATAAAGTTGACTCTTGTATTCAGCAGATACTAACTGAACACTTACTAGGCTTCAGATATCTTCCTAGGGATACAAAGGTTAACAGGAATATTAATGAGAAGCTTTCAGACTATTAACACTCTGGGCCCTCTTTACCAAAGTTTACAAAATTTATTGCCAGAGTCTATGTGTGTGTGTAATCTCCTGAGCCACAGGACTAAAATAAATATTCAAATATTCGTGAATAAAATGCTTCTGGTTCAGAAAAATTCATACATTTTTATACACACATATATCTGTTTTACATGTATAACCTTCCTGAAAGTTAAGAGGAGGATGATCCTGAGTATATTTATTTGAATTATTTATTTATTCCTCTTACCTGGAAGAATGATACAAAAATCTTAGAAGATTTAAATAGTCAATAAATTCAGTTCAACGTGTATTTATTGAACCTTAACTGAGAGCGAAGCTGAGAAAGTAAGAATTTGGTATGTTTAGCTTCTATAGAGGAAGTCAGACTCTGTTTCCCACTAAGACTCACAAAATAGGGAATTCCCCAAACATTGGAAAGTGTGTTAGATGCTGGGCAGCTAGAAAGAATGACAAATGTCTACAAGGATGTATGGCTATAATAAAGTGCAGGATAAGAAATATACAACAGAAGAAGTAATGGAGAAAAGAGATGAATTACTTCCAGGTTGGGGTAAGGAGGAAAAATCACATTTGATTTTAGAAAAATAGGTGTGATTTGAAATAGGAAGACTTGGGAAAGGAAAATAACTTTGTTGCTAGTGTTGAAATATAAAACATGGGTATATAATAAACAGAACATTAAATTGGGGGATGGGACGTTTAGGGGACATGAAGTAGACGTAATGGGTAACTATTGAATTAGGACTTAGCTATTTCTGCTGCATGAGGGAAGGACTCCTTCAACAGGCAATCTTCGTCCTGGAGCTCACTTTTAGGTTGATACAGTCTTTATCAGATTGGGCCTAGACCTGGCAATAAAAAGTAACATGGGAAAAATTGAATAAGATGAGATAACAAGAGGTCTTGAATGTCCTTATAAGCTTTTTGAACTTTATTCCAAAGGCAGTGAAAACCCACTTAGGTCTTTTGAGCAATACATAGAGTGGCGCTTTTCCTACCAGCATTGTACTTGTTTTTATTGCTGCATAACAAATTACCACAAATTTAGTGTCTTAAAACAACATGTATTTTTTGCCTCCCAGTTTCCAGAGGACTGGACTTCAGGCACAGCTTAACTGGGTCCTCTGCTCATGCCCACATGGGCTACCGCTGAGGCGTCAGCCAGACTGCATTCTCATCTGGAGGCTTGACTAGGGAAGAGTCTGACTGCAAACTCATTAAGCTCCTTCATTGCCTGGGGCTGTATGACTATGTGTGGGCTTGGACCTCAGGTCCTACAGGCCACCCACAGTGCCTGGCCACCTGGGACTTACCAAAGGTCCTCTCACAACATGGCAGCTTATTTCTTCAAAGCCAGAAAAGAGAATACCGAGCACAAGAAAGATGGAATCAAAAAACAAAAAAAGAAAGATGGAATCATATAGCTATAGATATTGGTGATATAGATACATACAGATAGAGATAGATAGTAAACTCTTCAAGGGAGTGACAGCTCATCACCTTTGCCACAGTCTGTTAGTTAGAAGCAAAGCACAGGATTCCCCTACACTCAAGGAGGGAGGATTATACAGAGTGTGACTCACTGGGTGGTCACCGTAGGGTGTGTCAGCCACAAATATTAATCTGGCAGAAACGCATCATATAAATTTTGGTGGGAAAGACAGAGAGACAAGGGGACAAGATGTCATTGTTGTTTCAACCAGAAATGTATGGTTGTCACCAGAACAGAATCATATATGGAACACATGGGGTAAGGGTCAAGAATTTCAATATGTTGTTGCCTTTTACGCCATGGGCATTAAAGAAATTTAAGTATCACGCCATCTTTAGAATTTCGTAGCAATTACCCTCCCACACCCCAACACTTCCTAGACTTCCTAAATTCCAACTTAGTTCTCCAAAAGGCAAGGAAGAGTTGTTCCTCCATTCTACAAATTTTATAAAAGGATTATCACGCTGCCCAGGGGTCTAACAATGAGCTCATTATTGCCATAATTTTCAGGTTGTTTCACGTGTGCTGTTATTTTTTTTCCTCACGTAACTGGTAAACCTGTGTTTGGTGCCCCCCGCACAGTGCCTAGCACTTTGCTGATTCTGTCCTTTCCTTAGTGGACTCATTCCCCTAAAAGTCACGTCATGGTGGATTAGGGGCTTCACGTTAGCACTGAGGGTTCTCACACTTGATCCTGTTGCAGAAGAATAGTTTAGTAAGTGTTCTTTGTATGGTTTTGTGTGATTAAAACTATGTAAGCGCTTCCCTGAGTACTTTCTCATGTGACATGAACATCACCTGTCAGACTTCTCTCTTTTCCCCCTCTCATGACTTCCACTGAATCAAACCATTTCTTTCTAAGTAACAGGGTGTCTTTTTCTAGAAATATCTCTATTTGCTCCATATTCATGATTTCTAGGAAGGAGTAAAGGTGATAAGATTTGGGGGGTGCTCAAGCTCCTCACAAATGAGGGTTTGGGGGGGTCCCACACCAAGCTACCCAGATCAGCAAAGGGAAATTAGGATAGTAAAGGAGGAAGTGATGAATGCTACTTGTGGCCCTGGCACCAGCTGCAGCAACAGGGGCTGTGGTTTCTCCCACTAACCTCCCCCTTTTGTTTCTTATCAGGATGAGAGGACCACCAGAGCCCTGGAAGAGTTGCTCCCCCAACCTGTGTGAAAGAGGAGGACCCATGTGCTACAAACAGTGGACTGTGGAGTGCACAAAGGTACACTATCCAGATTCCCCTTCCCGAAAAAACCATTTCCCAGCTCCACGGAGAGTGGTTGGCTCCCTGCTCCTGCTTCAGGGTCACCTCAGATTTCCAGCTGAGGTTCCCTATTCCTGGCATAGCTGCGGGTGAATGCCTGAGCAAGGCGAAGTTAGTTAAGAGCACGCTCTTCCTGGGGAGCCCCCAGTCAATGACTACCCAGAAGGCGTACCTACCCTTCTTCTCACTGTACCTGCTCTCCCTCTTCCTCCTCTTCTTCCTCACCTTCTCCTCTTTTTTCTCTCCTTCTCTTTCCTCTATTCTGTCCACTTGAATTTTTTCAAATAAAAAATACAAAAAAAAAGATTAAGCCAAGTTTTAATAAAAGAGAGACAAAAAAAGACATATCAATGCCATGTATATACCTTATTTTGATATTGATTCCAAGAAGTTATGAAACAAATTAGAAGAAAATGGTGAATTTTAACATTGAGTGGATATTTGCTATTAAAGAACATTGTTAAAATTTTAGGTGTAACTATGGTATTTTGGTTAGATTTTTAAAGAAAGCCTTCTCTTTTAGATGTGAAGACTGGAATATTTACAGATGAAACTGTACAATGCCCGGCATTTGCTCCGCTATCATCCTGGATGAGGGGGGCAGTGGCTATGAGTCCTTTGCTTCCCTTTTCATGAAATAGTGCTGTACTTTCTTTCACATGTCTTACATGTAACTCTCCGAGGTGGAAAGCGTCATTTATTCAACATCTTGCGTTGGGTTGGGTACTATGCTGAGCTGGGCACACAGGTAATGCAGAGAGCTGGTTCTGTGGTCAAGTAGCTCACAGTCTGGTGGGAGACACATCCATGTACCGCGAGAGCGACACAGCGGGAGAAGTGACGCGCAGTGGTGCTTCCTACCACTCGCCCTGGGTCTGACTCTCCTCCTTTCTTTCTGATTCTAATATCCTGAATTTTGGTGGGAAACACTGTTTTCAACATTGTGTAAATAACCACTTCCTTGTTGAATCTACTAACATGGTTTTTATTTTACTAAATTTCTTTAGTGCCTGGCCCTCAGATTTAGTATGCAGATATTGCTACTCAAGAATGGACTGACAGATCAGGGGGTTTGTGTTTGGGGTGTGTGTGTGTGTGTGTGTTTGCTGGAGGGCATGCCTGAGAGAGGGCTTTGAATACAGTGAAAGCCTCTATTAAGAGTCTTATTATTTCTTCCCTATTTTACATTCTAGCCAGACAATATTTACTACACTAGTAAAAGAGAACTCTTTTTACAAGTGATTAAGCGAAAACTTAGTTACATATAGTTATGTGTAGTTTTTCAGTTCCAAAGAGTTAATTCCAACCCCCAACATACTTTTAAAAAAAATTAAAATACGGATTTTTATTTCAGAGGCTGCGGTGATAGATATATTTGTCTAAATATCTGGCCTTCTTAATAGAAGCTTTACGCAGTTTAATGATTTCTGAACATCAGTTATACATTTCAGAAGAATAAACTATTTACAGTTCTGAGAAACACCTAAAACTGACTTTTAGAATTGTTAGCACATTTCTTCAGTATGTTCCAGTAGAAAAAGATTTGTGTCAATGATAGATGAATCTATATCTTCCTAGGAAACTCTTACTCCAAGACACTGCCCAGTGACAAAAACAAAAGAATATAGCGTTAGTAGAACAAATGGTCTATCTGGCATTATTTTAAGAAGCACTTGATATCTAGGGGGAAATAAAATCACACCCTTTGACTGAAAAGATATTGCGCCACCTTGGGACAACTATGGGAAATGGTATTCAATTTTCAAATTTAGTGGCATCCAGCTAAAAAGGGTTTGGAAATTATGAAGCAGGATTTCTTGTCTATTTAATATTTATATTACATAAATTACATATTTTCCCTCAAAACTTTAAGGCAAAGCTAAAACAAATTACCCAGTTGATAAGCAGAGTTAATTGGTATGATATAAAATATTCCAAGTTCTCCACTTTTTCAGATATAAGGTAAAAATAAGCTAATAAGCAGTAGTTATTTGTATGCACACACACACACACACACACACACACACACACTCTAGAGCATCAGTTCTCAACCTGTGGGTCGCGACCCCTTTGGGGGTCGAACGACCCTTTCACAGGGGTCGCTTAAGACCATCGGAAAACACATATTTTCGATGGTCTTAGGAACCGAGACACCGCTCCTCTATCCGTCTCCATGCTTCAAGACAAAATTTCATTTATTTGTAATTAGAAATAAATATTTCACAATATATACATATTGTTTTTGTGATTAATCACTATGATTTAATTATGTTCAATTTGTAACAATGAAAATACATCCTGCATATCAGATATTTACATTACGATTCATAACAGTAGCAAAATTACAGTTATAGAGTAGCAACAAAAATAATTTTATGGTTGGGGGTCACCACAACATGAGGAACTGTATTAAAGGGTCGCGGCATGAGGAAAGTTGAGACCCATGGCTCTAGAGGGTGCAGCCAAACAACACATAAGTCTAGGCTGGATCAGCAGTAGCTGGAGAGTTTCTAGTTTCTGCCTTGAGAGAAGGGGATTACAGGTACAGACAAAATACCTTGAATAAACATGAAGTCAGAGGGTTTTCCTCTGCACTAAAAATAGGTTCCCTTCTAGGGAAGAGAAAGAAAAAGAAAGTACCTGAGATCTTCATTCCTTGAAATGGAGGGAGGAAGTAAAAACCCAGGAAGAAATGGCGCACTAGTGCATCTAGGCAGATGGGTCTGTAGGCAGCCTCAAACTAAGGATCCCACACCTTGAAGCAGTCACATGAAGCACAGAGGGCTAGATTTGGAGAAGGTCTGAAGGCAGAGATCCTAGATACCTGCACTCCAAAGTCCCATTCCCACCCCAATTCCAGAAATATGATACAGTTTTTGAGGCAGGCACAGAGAAAATAAGGTTAAGTTTTTGTTTTAGTTGGATATAGCGGGAGGGTGGGCATTCAGAGTCAAAATGGAATTGAGTTATACAATACAAAGAATCGGCTGAGAGAATCAGTAACTGGGTCTCACTCTCTTTTACCCTTCCATCTCCAATGAGAAGCTCCAACAAGGGATCCTGGTGATCTAGTCCTTAGGTCAGTTTCCTGGAGCTAAGAGCAGGGTGAAGAAAGATGGATAGTGAGTGTGGAGGGACACATGGAAAATAAACAACACACTGCGCCTATCAGATCCAACTTTCCCAGTGCCTCTTTTTGTCTGGTCTCTCAGGAATGTATGGAATTCTAAGGTCTTGCTTTCATAAGTTCCCCCTCCCCCTTGATATGAACTAAAGCTGCTTTAGTTGAGACTCTTTCTGTTTGCCTTTTAAGCAAAACTGGGAGGACCATTGGGAATAATGATAAGCCATTGTTATGTACTGAATTGTGTGCCTCCAAAACTCATAGGTTGAAGCCCTAACTCCCAATGGGACTATATTTGATAATCCAATAGGACTGGTGTCCTTATAGATGGAAGAGACACCACGACTGTGTATGCGTGTGTGTACGTGACAAAGTCCACGTGAAAACGTAGTGAGAAAGTGGCTGTCTACAAACCAAGGAGAGAAGCCTGGGGAGAAACCAGCCCTGGTAGGCACCTTGAACTTGAAATTCCAGCCTCCAGAACTGTAAGAATTAAATTTCTGTTGTTTAACCACCCAGTCTGTGGTATTTTGTTATGGCGGCCGTAGCTGAGTAATACGGCATTGCTTCTTGTTTTCTAGTTCTTTAATACATTATCTACTACTATTTTTATCTCTCAAAATCCTAGAAAGTAGGTGTGATTAAACAAGTTCTCACAGACAACAAAGCTGAGGTTCAAAAGGTTAGTGGCATGCCCATGGCCACAAAATAATAAGTAGCAGAGATTTACTATTGGAACTTCTGTTTGTTTGGCTTTAAAGCCATTACTCTGTACTGCAATCACATGAGAAAGGAACATAATTACTGTGGCTCTGCTCTGGCTGGGTTCAGTTAGGAATAATTATATTATGTTTCAGCAACACTCTTAGCCTTTTCTTTTCACATTTCTTGGGCTTGAATTATCACCCAAACTAATGACTCTCACATCTGTAACTGTAACCTACTCCTTTTTCTTTAGTTTCAGACTTATCCTTCCTACTATCTACTGTACACCTCATTTGGATGTCCTACAGGCATCTTAACTCAGTAGCAAAAAGAGGCACAAGATTGGAATATTTGTGTTAGTCTAGACTCCTTCCTCTGTCATCTCTCTATATTGGTCCAGTTGGTCACTAAACCCTTTGGTTTTTAGTCTTCTAATTGTTTCTCATATACGTATATCATGTCCTCTTCATTTCCACTGCAGCTGTGCCCTTAACTCAGTTCCTGGATTACCATGGTAATCTCCTAAACTGGTCTCACTGCCTTCCATCCTCCTCACTGCTACCTCAGGGCTTTTTCTAAAGACACTTGTAAATAAAAAATTGCCCAGCAGTGATTACTCCATTGCCTTTATGTTAAAATACACATTTCTTGACCTGACCTCGACCTTCCTCTTCAATTTCATCTCCCCAGTTAAATCCAAAAGCAAATTATTTGACTTGTCACCTAGCCTAACATTTAAAAGAGCACACTGGTGTTAGACTGCCTTAATTTGAATGCAAGCTTGACTTACTAGGTGTTGTGAACTTGGGAAAATTAGTCCAAACATGAAATAATAATAGAACCTACTTCAGAGTTGTAATGATTAAATGAGCTAATGTACGTAATGAGCTTCTATCTTGTCTGACACATAATTTGTTAAATATTAGCTATTATTATCACCCTCTCAACCCGTGCATTTGCAATGCTGCTCCCTCTGCCAGAAATACCTCCCATCATCTCTCACCATCTGGCTATCCCTTTGTTCTTTTTCAAGATTCACTTCTGGGGTCACATCTCCTAGCAAGTTTACCCTGCCTATTTCGTTTTCCCCCACCGTTTCCTTTGCAAACTTCTTTGTTAACTCCTTTGTTTGCATTTATCACTGTGAGTTCCTTAAAAGAGGGATACTGTTTTCATATTTTTTGACACAACTTAAAGTCAAGTGCATAATATTTTCTGGATGTCTTCACAGAGAGCGCCCCACATATCATGAGATCTGTAAATAACTGTTCCTAAAGTCTATTCTGTATAGAGTGGCGACTTGTCCCGGGTATAAGACAAGAACTATCCTCAAGGTACTTAAGGGAGGGAGGCATTAAGACCTTAGGCAGTAGCCACGAACCCCGCAGCAAAAGGGGTTCCAGTGTCACTTTCCCAGCTCAAGAAACTCCTGGGTAAAAACCTCAGGTCCTAAACCGCGGAGGGATACACGCACTTTTGAGACGCACTCTGCACCTGAGCTTGTGACCGCTACTCGTTTGCGCCTGCGCCTTTCAAGCCGGCGTAGGGCTCAGTTGAGGACGGGGCCATGGTTCGCGTTACAGGATTGGGCGGTAGGAGCCAAAACGGGCGGCGCGGAAATGACGCAAAACTGCGCAAGCGCAGGGGACCTTGCCGCGCGGTGGCTGCTGGGGGCCGCACGCCTTACCTTCTTTCGCCGCTCCTCCGGTCCCCGCCCCCTCCGTCTCTCCGCTCCCTGGCGTGACTCGGCACTGAGAGCCGGAGAAGACTCCGCGATCGCCAACCCCTGTGTCCAGGCCTCGGCGTTCCTGAGGCGTCCCCTTTCCTCTCCCAGCCGTCTCCTTCCGTTTCGAAGCCAGTGGCGTCGCGGCCGCCTTTCCGGGCTCTCTGAGAATGGTGGGAGTGAAGCCGGTGGGGAGCGACCCGGATTTCCAGCCGGAGCTGAGCGGCGCGGGCTCCAGACTCGCCGTGGTCAAGTTCACCATGCGAGGGTGAGACCGGGCCCGACCCCTGTGGGCCCTTTCTGTCCGCCGGTGCTTTCCTTTCGCTCTTTCCCGGTCCCGACTCTAGTGCGATCTCCTCCCCTCCGGAATGGCAGGTGCTGGCCGCAGCCGCAGGCCGCTGCCCAGATAGGCCTCAGCACTTGGGTCTGAGCCCCCATTTGTGCACAGGGGAGCCCCTGGCGGGCACGGAGGCCTGGCCGGCCGCGTTCCGCAGCCCAGGAGAAGCCGGCCTGCCCGTTTTGAATCCTCAGAGGAGCCCTTGGGGTGGCCCGCCTTTTTTCCTCTTAGTCGTGGGAGTCTCCGATAGGCGCACCTGCTTGCGTCTGTCCCCCTCTTTCCAGGGAGCCAGCTGTCACTTGCATCTTAGAAACCCTGAAATATAAATTTACGGAACACTTTGATACTCTTCACCTGCATGTCTGTAAAGCCTTTGGAAAATTCAAACGGGGCTATCCAACTAATCCGCGTAGTGCTAATGCATTTTAAATTAAGTTCATTTGGGGTTAGCATACTTTTTAATTCTTTTAACGTTTTTGTTACTGCTTTGGTTTGTAACTTTGTAACTCAGGCTCCCCTATGTATAAGATTGCATGTGATCGCACAAATTGTAGGTATGCATAATACTGGTAGACAGGTGTGTCCAGACGTCTGGGTTTGACCAAATAGACTCAATTTTTTTTACCTGATGATTTAAGAGGACGGGGATCTTGAAAAGATTTCCACTGGCTTTTTGGTAAATCTCAACACGATTTAATTGTCGCAGAGCTGGTGGATCTTTGATATTGGGTGTCAGTGTTCCTGTGTGAGGAGCGTGTTGGAACTAGGCATTCAGAACCAAGGTTTCAGCGAGTCTGTGTATTTACTGATTAGAGATCTCCGCTTGATTTACCTTGACCCCCTGGCAGTATTTGCACTTACAGTCACTTGGAGAAATACACTGCAGGTATAGGTGTTTATGTAGCACAATGTAATTATTGTCCAACTAACTATAAACATAAGGCAGTATTTCAAACCCCAGAACAAAAGTGATTCATATCTGTCGAACATGATTCAATAAATGTTGAGTAAGTAAGTGGTGGCATTAGGATTAGATAGTTGTAGGGGATGGAGGGTTGCAAATAGAGATGAAAACAAGTTAGGACTTAGTTTTGGACTAGTTTCTCATATGCAGAATTGAAAAGGGACAGTATATTAAATTTTATATGGAGGAATGAGTATCCATTTGACATGTGGATTTTGACATTTACTAAATTGAAGAGGAAAAAGATTTCATATATAAAGACATGTCTTAAAGGAATGTCGAAATTCTGTAAGTGTGCTTTCCCAGATGTAGTAATTTTATAATGTCTATGTTCTTAATATGGGGGAATACTTACACATTTGTTAAGTACCTAGGCTGAAGTTCGAAAGGAGAAAATTTTTTTTTTTTTTTTTTTTAGAGGGGAGTGTCACTGGCCCTCATATGTGGGATCCGAACCGGGGCCCTCTCACATCCCAAGCTAGTTCTTAACCATCGCACCACTCGGCTGGCCCGAGAAGAGATGATTTTAACAACAAATCTCAGTTTTAGTTCACTTTTCTGATTCTAGTTGGAGCATTTATACTTTTGTCCTTTAGTGACACACTCCCCCCCCCTTTACTATAGCAGAGGTAGAGATGAAAGTAATAAATTAGTAACAGAAGTGAGAAAAGTGGGGAAATATTGCTACTAAGGAAACACTTCCATTAACAATATATATTATTTAACCCTAAACATAACTGCAGACATTGATTTCTATGTAAAAACTGAGCAAATAAATAAATGGTTGAATTTAGAGAATGTAAATTCGAAAGTATGTTTAGGTGACATTTATAAATCTGGCAAGATTGTATTTTCCTTTAAAGTACTTTTAACATTTTGGCCATTAATGTATTCCTACACAAACTCTATGCCAGTGTGACTCCAGATTTACATATAGGAGCATCAGTATTAGACCCTCAAACAACTATATCCAGTAAAATCATATAAGAAACCTTGTAGATCCAAGTTAATGTCCCATTTTAGGCCAAGGACATAGTTTTCTCCAGCATGTATTTCTTCTTTCCTTTCCAATTCTACTTTAAGCTTCATTCCTTATTTTCCACATCCATGCTTTATCTATCCTGTCTGTTAATTTTACTAAAACACTATACAGACTGTCACTCTTTAAGAATCTTCAATGGCTCTCCAATATTTTTTTCAGTTTTTTTAATAGGTAGTAGAACATATGTAACATAAAATTTACCATTTTAACAATTTTTAAGTACATTCACAACGTTGTACCACCATTACCACTTGCTGTTTCCTAGAATGTTTTCATTGTCTCAGACAGGAGCTCTGTACCCATTAAACAATAACTCCTAGTCTCTCCCTGCCCCCAAAGTCCCTGGTAACCTCTCTGCTACTTTCTGTCTATGAATTTGCCTATTTTTTCTACCTCATATGAGTGGAATTATAATATTTGTCCTTTTATTTCTGGCTTATGTCACGTAGCACAGTTGGTGTGCAAGGATCTGTTTGAGTGCCTGCTTTCAGTTCTTTTGGGTATTTACGTAGGAGTGGAATTGCTGGATTATATATGATAATTCTACGTTTAACTTTTTGAGAAACCACCGAACTTTCCACAGTGGTTGAACCTTTTTGCATTCTCACCAGCAAGGAATGAGTAGTCCAATTTCTCTGTGTACTACCAACACTGTTACATTTTAATAATCACCCTAAATGGATATGAAGAGGCATCTGGTGGTTTTGGTTTTGCATTTCCTTAATGACTGATGATTCTGAGCACCTTTTCAGGTGCTTATTGATCATTTGTTTATCTTCTGTGGAAAAATGTCTATTCAAGTCCTTTGCCCATTTCGAATTGGATTGTTTTATTTTTTGTTGTTGAGTTGCAGGAGTTCTTTATATATTTTGGGTATTAATCCCTTGTCAGATATATGATTTGCAAATATTTTCTCCCACTGGTTGCCTTTTCACTGTCTTGATAATGCCCTTAGGTGCACAAAAGTTTTTATATTTTGATGAGGTCCAATTTATGTATTTTTATTCTGTTGCTTGTGATTTTGGTGTCACATCCCAGAAATCATTGTCAAATCAGTGGCATCTAGATTTTCCTCTTATGTTTCCATCAAAGAATTTTATAGTTTTAGCTTTTAAATTTCGGTCTTTGACTCATTTTGAGTTAATTTATTTACATGGTGCAAAATAAGGGTACAACTTCATTCTTTTGCATGTGTATATCCAGTTTCCCGGCACCATCTGTTGAAAAAAACTTGTCTTTTTCCCAGTGAAGGATCTTGGCATCTTTCTCCAGTATTTTGCTAAGTAATTAAAATAAAGAACATTTACATATTATTTAATCTGTGTAATCAGCTTGTTTAAGCATTTATATTGACTCATTCAATCCTCAAAATAATCTTTGAAATTATCCCCATTTTACAAATGTACAAATTGAGTCACAGGGAGGTTAATTTAAATAACTAGGCTCATAGTGAATGCACTATTTGGATTAAGTGCTATCCTTGCTCTTCTCAGCCTAAGCAGAAAGGAATGCAGGTTCATTTCTGTGTGTGTTGTAGAGCCTGACATTTTTCAGTAAATGTTGCCTTAAATTATTTAACTACAGCACTGCCTGCATAACTAATCTTATGACCAATGACAGTTCAGTTCACTCTCCAGTGTTCTTTTCCCTACCTGGAAAATAATGTGTAACCTAACTAAGTTGTTTAGAGAACGAAATTATAAATATGTCTTTAGAAAGGACATACATTCTCCTTACCCATTTACTAACTGAATGTGGTTACTATACCTGTTAACTACTCAAGGTAGAACACTGACTACTTTAGCAAATATGGAAAAATAGCAAGTTCATGAAATAGAATTTATTTATATTACAACTATAAACAAACATCTTACTTGTTAAGAAGAACCTAGCATGCTTTTAAAGAAAGCTGATTTTGGGTTGGATTGAACTTTCCAGCTGTGGTCCTGCCATTCACTGCACGTCTGATATGGACAAGTCATTTAACTTTTCTGGTCTTTCATTCTCACTTATCAATTAATTGTGTGAGCGTAGGTCAATTTTAAAGTTTTAGTTTTGTGGGTTTGGTTCTTTTATCTATTGCAGAAAGCTGGAGGGTTGTCTGTTATATTCTCTTTCTTTCAAAAAGCATTACACAGAATCCTTACATAGCCATTTTACACATTGGACTTAACAAATAAGCTTTCCATCAAAAACAGGGTCAAAACTCTGGACTAGATGGTCTGTGGTCTCTTTTACAGAAGTTCAAAGGTCCTGTGATTGTGTACTTACTAAGGGCTGCAAATCAGGATCTGTGCAAGGGAAAAAAGTATAATTCTGAAATTCAGGTGTACTTGGGGCATAATATTTTGAGAGATGGGAAAGGTCCTTGCAGAATCTTGTCCCTTCTCATTTTCTATAGAGAAATCAGTAACATGTTTATGAGTGCAGCCAATAAGGGAATTTTAAGTTTACTCTTAAATGTTAATGATAAGTAAGACAAACATTTTACTTAAAATAACCAATCAATTCACTCGAATTATAATGTGAAAGTATGCCGCTCGCTGTGCTTCTGTGTTCTATGACTTATTTTGACTTTTGACTGAAGTTCCAAACTATGAGGCTAAAAGTAAACAAAGGATCTAGATGAGGTTAAATTTTGAAAAGAAACAATTATTTGCAAGGTAGCCATTTTATACAGTCTGTTTAGCTACAAGAAGTGTTTCTTGAACACCTGTTAGCTCTACATGATTGGTAAATAAAGCAGTGATGTCAGTATAATGTGGAAGTTGTGTTGGTTCATATTCTATTTTTCTTAGGTAGTGAAGAGCAGGAATGGAAATAGAACCTTTAGCAGCGAGGAAAAAAGCCCTCAGCTGCACAGACAGGCTCCCTTTCAGGTTTATTTTAAGAAAGTTAAACATGAGCACCTAGCTCTTGTTCCCAGAGGGGTTCATTCTCAGTGTTGCATGCACTTGCTTCCTCCTGCCCCTGCCTTAGTGACAGCCTCACTGGCCTAAAGCTCCACTCCATCTGGATTGTCACAGCGCCTGGAATGTAAGCAGGCACTTCATTGTTTGGTTCTTAGGCATCCCCTGAGGTAGCCTGTAGGTCTGAGCCACCTGCCTGGCTGCCCAAGTATTTCCTGAGTACTAGTTACTGTTTTTTTTAGGGATGTTTTTACGAAATTGCGGGGATTTAAATGGTTTGCCTCAATCTTATTTTTCTCTGTAAGCTTTTTATTTTGAGTGCGTGCTTTTGCAGAAGCAGGGAGATTCTTTAGGAATGAGTATTTTGTTGTATAGTCTAAATACGTGGGCTTCATTTGTGACAACATTTAATATTTTAAAATAAAAATACCTGTTTCTAAAAAAGCAAAGGATGCGGAAGTATGGATAATTTAAAAAGTTTCCCCTAAACTTTCTTCCTTTTCTAAAACCACTTTGCAGAAGTAATGAACTGTGTATTGGGTGACCCACTTAACTGTGTGTGTGTGTGTGTGTGTGTGTGTGTGTGTCTTTTTGATGTGATCATAGAGAATGTTTTGTCATGAGACTTAGCTTTCTTTAAACAGTACAAATTATCCTTATCCCCTGGTGTGAATGTGTCATAACTTTTAAAACTACTTCTCTGTTAATTGCTTTTTAGATTGTTTCTAAATTTTTTATTATAAACATTGCATTGAACTTCCTTATACCTATTATTGTGAAATCAAGTGTTAAGATAGAATTGACTTTTAAAAGTGAGGTTGTTGAATCTTGGGTTATATTCTTTTAAAATTGATGAATAATGGCCTAAATGGCCCTTCAAAAAGAATCTACTAATTTGTACTCCCATCCATAATGTTTTAAGACATTAATAGCCAGAAGTATTTTGCTGCACTAAACATGGTTTAGTAGACTGTAAATGTGTGTTTCTTTAGAATTTAGTCTCAGGGCCTATTTGAGGATTGGTAGATCCAGAAATCTACTTTCGGAAGCATCAAGTGTAATATTTAAAACTTCATTGTTATTTTCTTAGCTTTTCAGTGAGAGACTTAAGGTGGCACAGGATGAAAATGCTGATTAAAATGTTAAGAATGGAGAGACAGTCACAGTTTGAGTTTGAACATTTCTGAGTTTGAACATTTTGTGCTTTAGAATTTTCTATTCCTTGTGTGTCTGTTAAAACCAAGATTTTTTTCTCATTTTTTGACTTTTTATTGAGACATACATAGTGTACAATAATAACTGTATAGCTTAGTAAATTTTCACAAATGGAACACACACCCATGTTATCACCTTCTGGACAAATAGAAATCTCTGGCCTCTTGAAATCTCTCATGACCCCATCCAGTCACTAACTGACAAAGGTAACTATTGTCCTGATTTATTGTATAATGCCATTGATTCATTTTGCCTGCATGTATTTGAACTATATATAAATGGAATCATGTAGTGTACTTCTTTCCTTAGTATTATTTGTAAGGTTCATCCATGTTTTGCATGAGTTTTTAAAAGTCATTTTTGTTAATAGTATTCCACTGTATGAATAACTACAATGATTGCCCTCATCCTGTTCTTGATAGAAATTTGGGTAGTTCTCATTTTTGGGCTGTTAGAAATACTGCTACGATCAATATTTTTTCAAATGCCCTAAAGCGAACATGTGGACATTTCTGTTGTTATCTATTCCTAGAAATGATCATAGGTAGGCATAAAGCTTGCTTTAGCAGAGGCCGCCAGTTTCTTTTCTTTCCCCTAACGTGGTTATACCAATTTTCACTGTTACTGACAGTTCGGTTGCTACACATTCTTGACCATACTTCATTCCTCTTCATTTTAGCTATAGTGGTGGGTGTACATTTAATTTGCATTTCTCTGGTTTTCCTAGTGAGTAATGAAGTAGGACGTCTTTTCCTATTTTTTGACTGGAGAACCTCATTTGTCAACTACAAGTTCAAGAGTTTACCCATTTTTCTTTTGAGTGTCAGTCTTGTTCTTATTGATTTGAAGGAGTTCTTTATACATTAGAGGTGTAAGTCCTTTGTTGGATATGTTTTACAGATATTTTTTTACCAGTCTGTAGGTTGTCTTTTCACCCTTTAGTGATATTGTGATGAACAAAAGTCTTAATGTTAATATTTCCAGTTTATCGAGTATATACCAATATGTCATTATATAATTTCTTTCCTTTTTTCTTCAGTTTTTTGTGTGTTTTAAGAAATCTTTGCTTGACTCTCTTCTAGCCCTCCTGCTCTCGCATGCTCGCTCGCTCTCCCTCTCTCTCTCTCTCTCTC